CCGCGCCCGGACGCGCCCGCGCCGCCCCACGCGCCAGTTCCTGCCTCCCCCGGGCGCCCCCCGCACCCTCGCGACGCACATGGTCCCCGAGCGGAGCCTCGCGTCGGCAGCCTCGGCGGCTCCCGCGGCCGCGGCGCCCTTTGTTGCGAGGTGGCTGGGGACGGAGCGGGCTCGGGCGCCCCGAGTCGGGAGCTACCCGGGTCCAGTGGCTCCGCTCCCCTCCGGAGGAAAGCGCCCCGGAGGGGTCTGCGGCGCCGGGGAGCGCCCCCATCTTATAGGGACGGGGCCCCGGGGCCGCCGCGCCCCCGCCGGGGTGGGTGTTAGGCCGGGGGGCGCCCCGGCGGGAAGGTTATTAACTTAAGTTGGAGGGACACTTGTGTGAAATTGGATGGCTCGTAAGATGGCGGTTCCCGGCCGTTTCCCCGAGGTCTTCGGCGTCGGTGTGGGGATGGTAAAGTTTTCAAGGTGCTGTTTGTCCGGGCTCTCGGAGGAGCGCTCCAGATGGGCTTGGGACCTGCTTCCTGGGAAAGGGGGTTTCAAATTGGGAGGGTTTTGAGGGGGTTTTGAGTGAAGATGGGGACTGGACGGTAGTCTTGCTATAGGTTTCCTTTCTCTGTCTACTCCCCCCCCTTTTTCTTTCTTCCCCCTCGCAGAGGCTACAACTTTTCTCCCCACCTGTACAACGGGATGCACTCAGAATCCTGACTTTGCGTCCACTGCGTTGTGTAGGTTTTGCTAAATGTCACACAGGTCAGGTGATAAAGGGATGCTCTGGAGAAGGAGCACTGAGAAGTTGATTGCTTCTGTTTACGCAGTCATTTGGGCTTGACAGCGATAGAGCATGATCTTTCCCCCCAGAGATTTACAGTTAATAATTGGGAGTAAACAAGGAGAGAGACTTTGATCATTCCCAATTGGAATAAAAGGATTTAGTGGGCTTAGTGGTCACGGTTCAATATTTGAATGAGAATCGTGTATTAACCCTTCCCTCAAGTAGGCAAAATTCTGGGCGAATGCATCCAAATGCAAGTGGAAGTTGACGGTGTGTAGACCGTTAAGAGTAGCTCAACCAATATTTTATAGGGATCTTAATCCCCATGTTTTGGAAACACGTTATAGGGAGCATTGTAAATTGGCAGTTTGTACGAAGTTATGAGACACCATACAGTAGTAACGTTTGGGTTTTAAGTAGACAGACCGGGTATTTCTGAGGTTGATTTTAGGATCAGAGCTGTAAAATTTTGATACTTGAGTTCATTTCCATACGTTTCCCCTCAAAATGCAGTCAGAAGCTGAAGTAACCTACCTGTGCAGATTACGCCCCAGTATCTTTAAAGCCATGTAAAAGACACACATAATAAGCTTTCCTAAGAAATTTAAACATAACTTTGATAAGTCCATTAATACTCTGCCACTAAGTTCTTGTACATATATTGTGTCCACATAGGCAAAAGTCTTCGGACTCCACTTAACCCAAGCTCTACCCATGCTTGTATTGAGGTGTGAGCCCCACTGGGCTTGTGGTGTTCATTTGCATTTCTTAGACTGCTGTAGTCAGGCTGATTGTTCAGAACTGCTTCTGTTTTCCTTCATTTTGACATTAGTGGTGTTAGGCCTCCCCCTAAAAACTGACAGCCCTGAGTATGTCATGGTGGCAAGTTTTAACTATTGAGTCTCTTTCACCATTGTATGTTTGAAGTATTTTTACTGGCTTAAGGGCAGTTTCTGCGTTGGAACCTAGATTTTCATTTCTAAGGTGCAAGAGAGTTCTTCAAACCTTATTAAACATGTGAAACATTTTGGAAGTCTGCCTTAGGTTATCGGTATTTTCCAATAGGATAAAGAGATTAAGAACTGATTTTTATATAAGAAAAAGTGATATTAGCATAAATGGTAATGAGTGTGGCCAAATTCTTCTGAGTTAAAGCAGGAGGATTGTGTAAATTAAGATTTAAGATGAATTTCCAAGGATTTTGGTCAAGCACATTGGATTTCAATGTTCAAAGCCAAGTGGTAGATAACCACTTCTTAGATTTGATTGTTCTCTGAGTTAATATTTGGTGTTCCTCTTCTGTAAGGTGAAGAAATAAAGGCAGCAGTTTTTACTGGAGCTCCTTGGTGAACTTCATGATGAGTGGTGGCCTTGGTGTGAGTTCTCCCAGGCAAACAGCAATCACCTTGCTAACTATCTTTCTAGGAAAGATACTATGGTTTCACAAGGAGAATTTTCTTTAAGCACCAAGGCTGTTCTCTAATTCTCAAGTACAAGTGGATTTAAAAACTGTTATTCTGCAGCATCAACTTCTCTGAGACTCCACCTAGATTCATGTTAACATGCAGTGGCAGTGTTCTTCTAAACAAGTAATCCAAAGCTAACTGAAGAATCCACACAGGAATTTTCTGGTTGAGGTTGCTGGTTGCCAGTGTGGTCACTTTCGTGAGAGACTTGGTTTTGGTTTGGGCCATTTTTTAGTGCTCAGCTCTTGAGCCACTGAGATATGTTGATTGGTGTCTCCCTGGGCAGCACTAAAATTCCCTAAGAACGGAAGCCTCAGATGTGTCTTCCTGCAAATTTCACAAGTGTCTAAATTTCCATTCAAGGCAGCTTTGAGAAGTACTTCAGGCAAGTATAGAAGCTTTCAGGTGCTGAAATAAATGAATGGGGTGGGGTGGTAATAAGAATTGGTACTACTTTTCAGCAGTACTACACGAAGTAATTGACTTCCCTGATCGTCCTCAGGTGTATTTTTGCTGACAGTTCAACACTGTGACTTTTGTGTAATATTTAATATCTTTTGGGAACATGATTTTAGCGTGTGGGGGTTTGTGTGGAAGCTGGGCTGAGAAAAATGGCATTTGTTGTTCTCTTCTATCATTACTCTGGATTGACAAGGTGTTGATTCAGCGTTGGGAATGGCTGGTCACATGGTTCTTTATATATTGTCTCTGTCCTACCTACTAAAGTAGCTTTTCTTGCCTCCAGCATAGTTTGTTCAAGTAAAACACAGGGGTTTGCCCCCTCCTCCTCTTCTTGTAAAGCAGTTTTCAGTTTTCAGCCCTTCCAAAACTTTGTGTGGCTCATCCATCTCCAGGAGAACTCACTAGGGAAGGAGGCTTTAAAGAGGTTCGGTTCAATAAACATCTCTGCAATGCAACTTGAGCCTTGACGCTTTTGGGCTAAGTGCACGGTTGGCAATTCTCAAAGGATCCCTTGGTGAAATTTCTGACCTGGTGACAGCTAGCAGGACAGACCGAGCGAGTCAGGATGGGAAGCCAGCTCTTCGCCCAATCGGCGTGGAAAGAGGCCCCGAGTGTCCGAGAGGCCGCCGCAAGCTGGGGGTCCCGCTGCCCCGCTCCGTCCCGCCCCGCCCCGCCCCCGGTCCGGTCGGTCCGCCCGGCCCGCAGGCCTCCCGCGGCGCCCCGCCCCCCGGCCCGCCCCTCCCCCTTGCGCCCGCACACCCGCCGGGGCTCCGGCTCGGCCGCGCGGCGCGGAGTTGCAGCGGTGGCCGGATGCCAAGTGTAAGTGTAAGTTGCTATGGAAACCCTGACGGAGGCGAGTTCCAAATCCGGAGCGAGACGGAGCCCGGGCGCTGCTGGGTCCGCCCCTCTCATCCCGGCCGCCCTGGGGCGTCCTCCGCGCCCAGGCCCCAGCCGGCCGACCGGACCCGAGGTGCTCCTCACGCGGCCGGCACCCAGCGCCGGAAATTCCAGGGATGCAGATAGAGCCGAATTTGTTTTCCTTTTGTATCTCGTAAAAACCTGCCAGGCTCTGGGTGCTTGAGCCGTCTAACACTGCAGGAACCCTGGGCTTTTCAACTGAAGATCCGCGAGGAAGTTTTACCGTGAATTCGGAGAGTTGGAGGGAGCCCTAGTGGTTGGTAAATATCTGTGGTGTCTGCTGCAGCCTTGGGGCTGCTCGCCTGGAGGACAAATGGAAGCCGGAGACCCAAGGAGCCCAGTTCCCAGCCCCCTCCGCCGACCACTTCTTCTCCCTCCAGGAACGACCCGAGAGACCAGGAGTAGACTTAGTTGAACCCTTCTGCACCATTTCAATAGAATTTATTCAGCTCTGCTTAGTAAATTCCTTCTGCAGGAAACGTTGGGACGGTCCAGCTGTACAGTGTTAAACGGCTTTTATGAACTCAGTGTTTCAGAGCGTGCTATTAACTAGGAGTTACAGATAATCTTGATTCTCTCTCTTTGAATTATGGCCAATATTTCTGTGTTTTGCAGGATCTTTTATCCAGCAGAAATGCATCGAACAACCAGAATCAAGATCACTGAGCTAAATCCCCACCTAATGTGTGTGCTTTGTGGAGGGTACTTCATTGATGCCACAACCATAATAGAATGTCTACATTCCTGTGAGTACACGCAGCTCTCTTCTTGTGTCATGTAGATACCGCTCCTCCTGAACTTTAAAAACGTACCAAGTCTCACAGTCCTTGGGCATTTTGGTACAAACTGGTAGGATTAATGTTCTCTTGCATTTAGTGACTTTTTGTTACTACCTATTTTTAAAATTACAAGCATGCAGCGTATGTTCTCAGGATATTGATTGACTTCGATTATTTACTTGGAAGTACCTTTTGGCATTTATCATCTTCTACTAATTCTCAATTTCTTAGACTACATTTTAATGCTTTGGAGTTTAGACTCTAAACTTACAAAAACTTTGCCTACTTCTAGTCTGTAAAACGTGTATTGTGCGTTACCTGGAGACCAGCAAGTACTGTCCTATCTGTGATGTCCAAGTTCACAAAACCAGACCGCTACTGAATATAAGGTAGGAAAACGTTTCAACCCTTGTTTGTAATTGTTACACAAGTTGTGTAATTTACATACAGGGAAGGCAGTCATGTTTTTATCTTCACAGGAAAATTTATTCTTGAACCTCTGTTTTGTGGAGGGTAACTTTAATTTCTTGCCATTTTAATGGTGACCAACTTTAGACAAAATTCATTATTATTTCACTGACTTTTAAGGTTTTTTTCTATCCTTTAAAAACTGAATTAGTTTTCCTTTTCTGCATTGCTCTATTGACTTCATGATAGATAAGAATAAATGTTTAAAAAGTACTTCCATACTCTTCATTCATATTGAATTTAGTTACTCGAAAGGCATACTTCCCTTGACTCACCAAATGTGAAATTATTAGTAAATATAAAAGTATGTTTCTTCCAATTTAAAAGTGCTCCATAGAGAACTTTTATTCTCATAATTGTTATTTTAGTGTGTAGACAGCATTATGATCAAGTAAACAAAGCATCTATAAATATTAACGAACATTTTTATTTTTTGCCATATTAATTGGTGGTGTACTTTTCTAATTTATTCTTTTTCAGGTCAGATAAAACACTTCAAGATATCGTATACAAATTAGTTCCAGGGCTTTTCAAAAGTGAGTAACTTGCTTAAGTGAATTTAAAGAGAGTATCCGTTGGTTTTACCTGCTTCAATAAATGTTTAAATCTTCCCCCCCCCTTCAGATGAAATGAAGAGAAGAAGGGATTTTTATGCAGCTCATCCTTCAGCTGATGGTAAACTTTTTAGGGGGCAGAAGATATTTTATTTGGAGGGAAAATTATCCAGTACTTAAAATTTGTTAAAATTGAGTTTATTCTAAAGTACTATTCTCCTATATGTAAAATATTTTAATTAAAAGTTTAATTCTTTAAAATTATATTTCAAATGTCTTTTTAGCTGCTAATGGCTCTAATGAAGATAGAGGAGAAGTTGCAGATGAAGAGAAGAGAATTATAACTGATGATGAGATAATAAGCTTATCCATTGAATTCTTTGACCAGAACAGGTAAGTTATCTGGAAAATCTATGTCATACTAATGTGTTTATTCAATACATCATTTTACTAATATTTTTTGTTTCTTAGATTGGATCGGAAAGTAAACAAAGATAAAGAAAAGTCTAAGGAGGAGGTATGTTCTATGTCACAAAAATATAAAGAACAAACTGGATCCTCGATTTTATGAGGGGTAATGTTGCCCTTTAGAATATTCTAGGGGCAGATGATGCTGTTAAATACAAGAAAATGGTACGTTTGATGTTTAAGAGGAATCTGTGATATTTAATACTTAGAATTTATTTTATAGATGGTTGCTGTTCTTCCAAAGTATTTTATAGTTTGTGTTGAATGTACTCATTTTCTTATTATGCTTATCATGTTTAATATACTCATTTGCTTGTACTAATTTGTTCATTTAGTATTTATAGTAATAGTAAATTCAAAGTATACTTGAGAGTTTAGTTGCATCTAGTTTTGGTATTAGTTTAGTATCTTTTATCATATTTAGGTGATAGAATTGAAAATTTTGTCTTATCTGAAAGGAAGCTGAAAAAAACTATTTTTGTAAATGTGTTCTCAGGTGAATGATAAAAGGTATTTACGATGCCCAGCAGCAATGACTGTGATGCACTTAAGAAAGTTTCTCAGAAGTAAAATGGACATACCTACTACTTTCCAGGTATCTGCTTATAGTCTTCATACGTTATGTTGTTTTCAAAAATTTTATAGTTGTCTTTTGGGATTATGAACCCAAAAACAATAGGAAAAAATTTAAATTTAGTGCTAAAGTTGAAAGATAACTCTTAAAATACTTTGGATAAATTGGTTTTTAGATATATAACAAATCTCTTGATAATTTTTAGAAATATTTTTCCTCATTTGAAGTTTTAAAGAGGACTTTTTGTCCAAATGTTTGGAGAAAAGGTTTTCTAAAGCATTTTAGATGACAAAAATACATAGATTTACCTTTGTTTTTCTGTTACTTAATACTTGAAATATTTTTCAATAGATCGACGTCATGTATGAAGAAGAACCTTTAAAGGATTACTATACACTAATGGACATTGCCTACATTTATACCTGGAGAAGAGTAAGTAGCATATCTCTCTTCAGTCAGGTAGTCAAGGGCATGTAAAGATTTAAGAGTGACTCTTTTCCCCCTTTTAACTTGGCAGAATGGCCCACTTCCTTTGAAGTACAGAGTTCGACCTACTTGTAAGAGAATGAAGATCAGTCACCAGAGAGATGGACTGACAAATGCTGGAGAACTGGAAAGTGACTCTGGGAGTGACAAGGCCAACAGCCCAGCAGGAGGTATTCCCTCCACCTCTTCTTGTTTGCCCAGCCCCAGTACTCCAGTGCAGTCTCCTCATCCACAGTTTCCTCACATTTCCAGCACCATGAATGGAACCAGCAGCAGCCCCAGCGGTAACCACCAATCTTCCTTTGCCAGTAGACCTCGAAAATCATCAGTAAATGGGTCGTCAGCAACGTCATCTGGTTGATTCCTGAGACTGTTAAGGAAAAAGTTTTAAACTCCTGATTTATATAGATATCTTCATGCCATTACAGCTTTATAGATGCTAATACATGTGACTTATCGTCAAGTTTGCTTTCTTTTGTAGTGACATTAAATTTGGCTGTAAAAGATGGACTAGATGTGATACTCGTATGGACATTAATTGCAAAGAAAGATTATTCCTATAAAGAATTGGATTCTGGGAAGGCAGGCAAGATTTTTTACTGTGTTAGGAAAGATGTGAAATGGTTTCTGTAACTGATGTTTGGATTTGGAACTACTCGGCAGTGAATAGAAGCATTGGGCCATAGTTTGTTAATCTCAACTAATGCCTATGTTACATTCTCCTTGATTGTTCTTGTTATCATGCTGTTTTGTGAACCTGTAGAAAACAAGTGCTTTTTATCTTGAAATTCAACAGATGGAAAGAATAAACATAGAATAACACATTCTATGTAGCCATGTCACTGTGAATAACGATTTCTTGCATATTTAGCCATTTTGACTCCTGTTTGATTTCTATTTCTTTGTTGCTGCGCAAAACCGATCAAAGGAAAGTAAACTTCAGTTTTGCAATCTGTATGCCTAAAAGCGGGTACTACCGTTTATTTTACTGACTTGTTTAAATGATTCGCTTTTGTAAGAATCTGATGGCATTATGCTTGTTGTACAATGCCATATTGGTATATGACATAACAGGAAACAGTATTGTATGATATATTTATAAATACTATAAAGAAAATATTGTGTTTCATGCATTCAGAAATGGTTGTTAAAATTCTCCCAACTGGTTCGACCTTTGCAGACAGACGCCCGTGCCCTATACTGAGGGTGGCTTACCAGCATAGGATACTTCTACTGTCAGTAATCGAGTTCTAAGTTCTTCTTCATTGGAAGCAATTGGCAAATAACCACCATACTGACTTCTCCAGTAATACATGTTTACTTTTAAAATTGTTGCAGTAAAGAAAAACTTTGTAAGGAATATGGAAATGATGTCTTAATTTTTCATTGGTTATAATGAAATCAATGTGTTTTTAAATGCCTATTTCTCACTGCAATTCTAAAATTTTTAAGTAAACCAGCTAATTTCTGGGAGAAGGCATTTTGTCCAAAGTTATTTTAATATGTGGTATAATAATTTCAAATTTAAGAGTTGTTTTAACAGTTAATAATGGAATATGCCTTCTTTGTAATGTCTAGAAATAGAAGCAGTTTACCATGAGCTTCTACGGGAATTTTTAAATACAGCAAGTATGTTAACTTTAAATATCAATAATCCCAAGAATTGTCAGTTTGTGTTTTGCTTTGGTCGAACTTGGTATGTGTTCATCACCCATCAGTTATTTGTGAGGGTGTTTATTCTGTATGAATATTGTTTCATGTTTGTATGGGAAATTGTAGCTAAACATTTCATTGTCCCCAGTCTGCAAAAGAAGCACAATTCTATTGCTTTGTCTTGCTTAGAGTCATTAAATCATCACTTTTGCATATATTGCTGTTAACTTTGGCTTTCTTTAAAAGATTCAGTAAATGTTTTATGAAACCACAAAATACATATATTTTTATTTTGACCTAAATTTGTACAGTCTCAGTGTAAGTGTTGTTTCTAATTATAGATGTAAAATGAAATTTCATTTGTAATTGGGAAAAATCCAATAAAAAGGATATTCATTTAGAAAATAGCTAAGATCTTTAATAAAAATTTGATATGAAAAGCACAATGAGCAGGAGTTTTGGAAACCTTGTAGTGATTACAACAGGTAAAAGCTAAAGAGAATACATTACTGTCTTAAATAGTGATGTTACTAAGTACATTGCTTTGTTGTAAATTGCTTGAGAGCCCATTGAAAGATGTATCTGTTTACAATCTTTGAAGTAAAAATTAACAATGTTTGCCAATTTTGGTGAATTTAAATCATTCTTCTAGGCTTAAGTTTTCCATGATGTTATCTAGGACTAAGAAAAGTTAGTGAATCAAATATTTTTACTTTGGATGATTCATGTGTGTAAAGAATGAAAAAAATATTTTTTTTCAAAGGTAAAAAACTAAATCCTGGTAGACTAACTTGACTCAGAGAACCAAGTTATAAGATTGACACAGAACTCAAAACCTTGACATTTCAACCTCTTTATCACGGACTTTTGAAATTTCTTATTAAAATATGCATTTATCGTTTACTTAGCACTATTTCACTATACTCAAGAACATTTCCATTTATTTGGGAGAGAATATTTTTTACTCAATTTGAAAATGGCTGAAATTTATAAGGATATTTTAGCTAAGATTTCCTTGTTTTTTTTATAATAAGACAGGAGAAAAATGACCATGGTTTAAATTCTTAATAATCAGCCACTACAGTTCTAACAATTAGGGTTTGAAATTTGCTAAATGGCCACCTTAAAACATGAAACCCTCTTTAAAAAGCCCTAATTTTTCCCAAAGTAGCGTCCTTGAAAAGTCAGCTTTAAGGTTTGACTTTTTCTAAAATATTGCAGGGTCCAGTAACACAAAATTAGGGTTACAATATTCTACAGAAGATCCCTAAAGTGATTTCCCAGGCTTTTAACTGAAATGCAAAAAGAAAAATGAGGCTGGTTGCTGCTGTGTAAAGAGTGATCTATCTTGTTTAACACATGCATAGCACTTTACAAGTACTTTCTGCTTTTTAAATTGCCGGCCGTTAATTGTAGAGTTGAAAAAAGAAAGTTGTCCTTTAGTTGACTAATCAGTCAACCACATTGCTTGGTTTCCACATCTGTACGTGCAAATGTTAGGATCTGTGGAAGTAAAATGCACCTGAAAGAGTAAACTGGTAGAGCTTTCTTTCACCCTGTCCTTCCCACCAGTACTGTACAGTATTTGGAAGACCGCGTGTGAAGTCTTGATTACTCACTTTTAGGCCCATCAACATACTTTTGTTATGCAATCTTGATAGGAACTTAAATACCTGTGTGAAATGCTACTTGCCTTGAGCAAGGAAAGAAGACATTTGATGTTTTTAGGTAACTTAGAGCCTGTGGAGCGGGCGGATTGTAGAAACAATCTGCCTTGGAACCCTGGAGTGAAGAAAGGGTGCCCCCTCATGTCTCTGTATGCTTTACAGGTTTAATAAACGTCTCATATCTTTTTCTTCTCATTTCACCAGCAATGACAGTTGGAAACTCTGATTTAGTTTAGTTCCCACATGAAATAGAGGCTCTTAACATATTTTGGAAACGGTGGTTTTCCCCATGTAATCTTCCCTGTATTTTGTACAAAACTAGAGTTCTTGATCAAATTACATTAAAAATGACTAGACTTTTAACATAAGTCTGTACATGTTCTAACAGAATACTAATTAAACCCTTGTCTAAAATCTATCCTTAAGAGGGAATCCTCTAATATACAATTCCTGGGTTAGATGCATTTCACTTGAAGATTTTTCTTCATGTGTGAACTGAACACGACCACGAGTTGATTAAAGTCGCTCAAAAAAAGTTCTGACCAATAAAAGAAAATTGAACTAAACTTGGAGGACAGAATCAAAGAGGTTCTGTACAGGAAGACAAAGAAGGTATCACACATTCCAGTCTCCCGGTAAATCAGACTTGGGAAACAGCCCTGCCAAAGACCTTGAGTCAGCCGATCTCGCCCTGCAAATCTCAAGATCCCCCAGCTCTGATTATGAAAGTCTGAAAATGTTTACACAGTCGAGTGTTTCCTGTTTCCGCAGTTAATTTTTTTTAACGTTTTTCTTCTTTTGCTTCTTGAAACGGATTTCCTTTATTTGCACCAGTTTCTTTTTCTTAGTGAGCAATTTCTGAAGGTCTCACATGAAGAACTTCACTATCTACTCCGCCCCCAAAGCAAGGTTTCTAGGGTGCAGCGTGGGGTGGAAGGGGCGCAGGACGCCTGCTCCGAGGGAACGACCTGCCTCGGGGCCACCGCGCTGCCTGCCAAGCCAGGGGGCCTTCGCCACTCCCTCAGGTCCACGACATTGCCCTTCATCACCCCAACGGCTACTCAGGCAGATCTCCGAGTTTTTCCTGAAGTTTAAGGGGGTAACTCATCCCGAATCTCATTTAGACCTGAGTAGTCCGCCCTCAGTACAAATTTCCAAAGGATGATTTAAATTTGTCTCATTTTTCCGACTCTTGGCTTAAAAATATTTTCCCAAAGATTATCCAGAAATAATGTTTAAACACAGCAAGCGTTGTTCCCCCAGAGTCACCTAGATTTAAGTAAAAATATTCTTTGTTGCTCTACTTTCTCGGTTGTTACAAGATGCAGACTTCACAGGGAACAGGACCCCAAGGTGCGTGGCGAGGATTCGAAGATCTCCAACTCTGTCCTCCCTAATCAGCTAGGTCCGGGGTGCAAGAACAAATTTACCCCGGAGGTTACTGGCCAGGGGACTAGGGAAAGGTGTCGGGAAGAATGGCAGGAATGAGGACGCTGCGGAGACGGACGGAGGTGACTGCAGTTAGAAGAGTCTGTGGACGGCCTAGTCAGGTCTACATGCGCGAAGAAGAGGGCAGCGCGCGGCGGGTAAAGGCCGGGACAGGTGCTTCGGGCGGCGGGGAAGCTGTGGCGCTTCACCCCCTGCCACAAAAGGCTTCCAGGTTGCGGCGCCCGGCGGACTGGACGCAGGACGCCTGCCTGGAGGGGACGGCCTCGCTTCGCAGCGCTGCCTCCTAGGCCGGGGGCCTTCGCCAGAGGGGCATGTTAAAGGAGAAATGGCTCTTCTCCCTGTCCTTATTTTCAAGCCAGTAGCTTTCCGAGGGGCAGAAGGAGCCCTGGCTCTGACCTCCCTTCCGAACCGCCCGGGGACTCTGCCCAGCCGGGAGCTCGAGCCCAGCGCCGCCGAACTGGAGGCCATTTTGCGCGTGCGCCGCTCGCCTCGCACCGCCCCGCGCCTGGCCGCGCGGCTCCCGCCAAATTTGAAAGCGGGATTGTCAGGCCGGGGAGCCGCCGAGCCCTCCACGGTGGGACAGCCAGGGTCCTCGCCGCCTGCCGGTGCCCCACTGCCCTCCGAAACCGTCCACGCCGCGGGGACGAGACCCGGAGCCCAGCTCACGCGGACGGAGATCGACCGCGCCCAGGACGGCGGCGGCTCGCGGGGGCGCCACGCACGCGCGTCTGAGCCGCCGTCCCGCGCGCGGTTGTGTCTCCGTCCCTCTGTCCCCGCTTCCAGCCCCGCGTGCTTCTCCAAGAACGAAGCGCCCTCGGAGTGGGCTCTGGTTGGGCGGATTTTAAACAGTTTTTAATACAGGGCCGCCGAGGGTGGCTGTAGGGGTGACCGGGAAGGGCAGGACTGAGCGAGCTTGTGAGTTTGCGCAGAGCCCAGGGTAGTCGAGATCGGGCGGGAACCTCGCACCTCGGGGCCCGGGCGGTGCTCGCGTGGGTCGGGGTCTGGGAAGCGGCGCGCAGGTGCGGGCAAGCGCGAGGCGGGGACAGGGCCTCAGCACGCGGGGGGATGCAGCCGGCTTCCCGCAGAGCCCGCCGGCCAGGGCGCGGGGTCCCACGTGCGCCCCGAAACGGGGAGGGGGCCCTGGGGACTGGGTCGGGAACGAGGAAAAGCGAAAGCGGCCCAAAATGGGCGACGCCGGCGCGTCCTCCGCACGGCGCAGCAGGCTGCGAGCCGCCATTTGGAGGCGGATTTCGGCATTTCTGAAGCGCGTGGCGCCGAGCGTCACCACTGGCTGTCTACGTGGCAGAGCCATCTTTTTTTATACCGCTGTTTCACCAGATGCAAATTTCCCGCCAGCTTTCCTCCCCGGGGGCCTCGAGCCTCCTCCGGCCCGGCGTGGCAGAGCGGACCTTTCCTGGGCACCGGAGGAACCGAATGGAGCCGGGCGCCGACCCAAAGCGACGCTCTCCTCTCCCCGTGCAGACTCCCGCCCGCCCTGTCGCCCTCGGGCATGACGGGGGAGATGAGGCATGGGGACAAACGGGGCGGGGCGGGCTCCCGCACGCGCGCTTCGTGCTGCGCCCGGGCCTCGGACCTGCAGGCGCCTCAGGGGATGACGCGAGTCCGGGGTCCCCACGGCGGTTGCCACGCAGAACCCCGAAGCGCAAGGCGGCCGAGCGGAGAACAAAGGACGTGGGGCGACGACCGCCCCGACCCTGGGCTTCGAGCCCGAGCTGCCATGGCGCCCTCACCAAGGACGCCTGCAGGTCGACGCTCCCGAGTCGACCACCCCCCGGCCCAAGAGCCTGGGGCCATCGCACCTCACAGCCGAGGTCCGGCCGGGCGGGCGCGGACCCCTGTGGGCGGCCGGCGGCGCCCGCTCCTCCTCGGAGCCCTGGTTCGTGGCTCCGGGATGCGCGCGCGACACACGCTCTGTTGCCAGTAGCAACCACACGACGGCGATTTGCAGCCAGTGCCGCGGCCTCCTCCCTGCCTCGGGCCGAGCAGCGGAAGCCCTGCGGGGGTCGGGGACACCTCGCGCACCTCCCCTCCCCCTCCCGCACCCTCGGCTCCGCTCGGCCCGTCCCCGGCACAGACGACGTGGGGCGCGGGCGCCCGAGCTCTGCAGAGCCCAGCCCCGGATGCCCTCCTCTCCGACTGGAGCCTAAATTATTTCAATGGCCAGTTAGGGAGCGTTTGTTGATAAGAGAGATAAGGGTGGTGCCAAGACAGAGCACGCTTTTTCTAGTAACACCTGCACCTCAAAGAGCTTCTGGCAGTGTCCACCCTCGGTAAGGGTGGCTCTTCTCTGGGTTAGAGCCACAGGCACAAGTACACACACCGTACGCTCTTTCCTCTTTTTTGTCTGCCATGAATATTTTGCATGCGATCCAGAATATAATCACTTCGGTGGGCTCAAAGATTATATTCAGATTCTTGTTCATAGGTGGATAGAACACACCCCCACCCCACCCCATCCCACCCCGTTTCATGTGATGAGCTACATCA